CTTCGTAGGCACATTCTGTTTTCTCTCTCACTTGTGGCAACACTTTATTCCGATGAACCAAGGTTAGTTTTCGTTTTCGTTTTCGTTTTGAAGAACTTATTTGTTGAATTTTTGTTGTTGTTATTTTTTGTTAAACTTCTTTGTTGTTGTTGTTTGGTTGAACTTGTTTCTTGTTATTGTTTGATTGAACTTGTTTTTTGTTTGTCATTGTTGTTTGTTGTTGATACACGTTCATAGTGCATAATTTACAAAATACCAAAAACTGAAATTTGTTGTTTTTCTGCTTTTCAGGTCTCATAGAGTTGTAAAAAAGGATCACAATTAATTTAAAAAATAAAAAAAAATTGATTAACGTTGTTTATTGATAAAATTCGACGTCAATTTAACGTCTTCCGATATGACGTCTGTTCACGGTTGAAAATACCGTTATTTGATAGGTAATGAGAGAATGTGGAAAGCATAGATGAAGTGCTAAGGATATAGAGCTCAGAAAGGCCTGGAAAAGTACCTAAATGAGGAATCGCACGAAGCTTGGGCGCCCTGTCCGAGGTTTGAGCCTCGAAAAATCGACGTCCACCGCCTGGGCGCCCTCCTAGGCCGCCCGGGCGGCGGCCCCCGAAGCCTGGGCGTCCAATTGAAGGCTTAGGCCCTACATGAGGATCATCCACCGCCCGGACGCCCTAAATGGGCGCCCCCGAGCGTCGCGCGTCGCAGATCCGACCCAATTTTTGTTCCGTTTCGACTCTTTTGGACCGGGCCCTATTTCTACTCTTTTTCCAACTTTATTTAAAGGACCAAGGCGCTCTAGGTTTTGTATCTCTGGTTGGAGCAACACAACAACACACTCTTCTACTCTCTAAAGGCGGACCTGGAGGCGGGAGCTTCCTCTTCTACTCTTAGGGTTTCACTATCTCATGATTTTTCATTATTCATATAGTTTCTCTATTTCTGTGGGGAACTATACTCTATTTGTTGTTGGGGAATGATGTAACCTTGTGAACTCTCATGTATTTGAATTGATTCTTAATTTATATGCTTTTTCATTAATTATTAGGGAATTCATTTGTTTCAATGCTTGCGCTATTTAACTCATTTAGTAGTATGATTTATGAATTGCATGAATGCCGGGAGGTTCCTTACAATTCAGGTTCTTGTTGAATTCTCCCAAGGGAAATATTTCTCACGGATGAGGGTATGAGTACTTGGTCGTCTTAAGATCTTGATCTTCAGACTTAATTTTCTAGGAACGCTAGGATTTGCACGAACTATGAATTAAGGCAGACTTATTGCGCCGAGGGATCGGGTTCTAAGTAATTTAGTGAGTGACGTTAACATTAATGTAAAAAGAAGAATTCTTATATACATGAGAGTAAACTTGGTGAAATCAAACCCTAACAACATACTCATGTCATTTTATAAACAATCTCCGTTCATCTCTGTGTTACTCTACTATTGATCAATTTGCGTTCATATTTAATTTTTTGTCTTTGCATTTGAAACCAAAAATCTCATTTTATTTAAGTCTTAATTAATTGAGTTAGCACACAACTGTTTAGTGTCGAGAGTCTTCAGGGATACGATACTTGGTCTTACCATTTTATATTACTTGTGCAATTCGGTACACTTGCCGATCCATTAACAAGTCGTTTCTGGAGATCAAAAATATTGTTAAAAACGTCGTTCTCGAATTCGACGTGAAAGACCCAAAATATTCGATATTGTACGTTGCTTTTGTACTAGTGATTTAGTTCTAATTTTTTAAAATAAATTTAATTTGTATATAAATATTATACAAATATTTGTACTAATTTTTTTTTATTAAATATTTTTAACAATATTAATTTTCTTTATATTTTACACTAAGTTAGTTATATTATGTTCTTTAAATACACTTGTCACATTTAAAAAAGTGAGTGGTGAAAGTAAGAATTGAAATAAAATGTGGAAGAATCTGGAAGAAAAAGAATGAGCAAGAGAAACGACTTCTAATTAGGGTTTTCACAAAATTTTCTCCAATTTGTTAAAAGAAATAAAATTCTACATCATTAAATTATTCACTAAACCACGTCATTTGAAAAATTCACACATGCGTGCTACATCAATGTTTCTTTTAAAACTCTTATAAGTAAATTTAAAGAACATAATTAACATTTATATAATTAACTCAGTATAAAATATAAAGAAACTTAATATTGCTACAAGGTGTAAACCTTTGGATGGTCCTCATATTTATAATAGGGAAAATAGTCTCAATTGAGTGTTAAATTTTGAAAAATTGTAACAATTACGCCTTTTTCGTCAAGTGTTGACAAGCAACGTCAAAGTATGCTGATGATGGGGTGATTTGGATTATTTTATTAACTGGAAATTTTAAATTATGACTTGTAATAATAATTTTAAATTACATCTCTGATTCTAATTAAGTAATGCAATTAAATCACCTTAACCTTAATTATCTCAATTAGCTTTTGAAAAGAACTAATTCACCTAATAACCCTAATCAGAAACACATTTTTCCTAAATTTGGCTTCCTCTTCTTCGCTCACAAACCCCAGCATTAGAGGTTGAACGAGGAGAAAATGTAAATCAGTGGTCGTGAAAGTTGAACGAGGAGAAAAAAAGGCTCGTGGAAGAAGATTTATGGTTTAGCTTTCGCGATTTGGATTCGCTCTTTCTTCAACTTCTCTTTCTTTATGACCTTGACAGCGACGTTGTCCTTGGTGACGAGACTTATGCCGTAGTAGACCTTGGCAAAGTTTCTCTGCCCCAATACCGCCCCATCTCGTATTTACTGAAGATTATGTTTCTGGGATTTGCATGGATAATAAGATTTACTCATTCATACAAATAACTTATGCCCAAATTTTATTAACATGTGAGTGTTATATTTTTATAAGGTTTATTAATGGAAAGATTCTTCTAATTTTTGTACTCTTGTCTTACATATTTTCCGTCAAAGTAATAAAACTTTGCTATTTTTCTTTTTTCTCTTTTCAAGTAGATGATATATTTTTTTGTTTTATAATTTTACTAATTTTCATAATCATTTAAGGTTTAATCAAAATATTATTTTAAAATGAAATAAAATGTCATTTAAAGATAGAAAAGAGGTGAATGATATTTATTTAAAAGAGAATGTTAATTTAAAAAATAGCAAAAGAGGAGAATATTATGTTATGAACTTCAAGAGAGATAGTGTAGTTTCTTGTAGATGATATATTCTTTTCAAAATAATTTTGTTGAAAGCANGAGGTGAATGATATTTATTTAAAAGAGAATGTTAATTTAAAAAATAGCAAAAGAGGAGAATATTATGTTATGAACTTCAAGAGAGATAGTGTAGTTTCTTGTAGATGATATATTCTTTTCAAAATAATTTTGTTGAAAGCATAAGAATGTGTCAGGAGTGTGCCCTCCACTTATCAAACTTTTGGTAAAAATAAAAAACATTATAAAAGAAATGCTTCTATATATCAGAAGCCCATGATTTACATGAAACTGGGTTGAACATAGAAATGCTATAATGGGCTTAGTAAAAGAAACATCAGTAAAAGTAGAAAAGCCCAGACCGAAATCCATTGGCGTCGCCCGGACTCGAACCGGAGACCTTCAGTGTGTTAGACTGACGTGATAACCAACTACACCACGACACCTTTACGTTAGTAGTGGATCAAACTATTTATAATACGTTTAAATAAGTGGATGAAAATTATTATTTAGCACGTTTCTTGTATTATCGAAACAAATTATATATCTCGGTATTGTTTTCCTTATATTAGTCGTACACGTTTTCCACTAGAATAATAAAATACGATAAATATAGTTTTGAATGAATGCTTAACTAGCAAAATTTAACCATATTTTTCTGAAATATCATATAGTTCCTAAAACATCAGCTAAAGTGAAAAATATTCATTATTTAGAAACATTAATTTTTTTTTATGAAAAAGCATTAACATTTATATTTGTCTTTAAAAAACTAAAATGTTAATAAGTCACTGTTTGCATATTAACAAGTATTACGTGTATTGTGTGTGTATTTGTATATGCAAGTTAAATGTAAATATAAATAAAGAAAAAATAATTTACATCTAAACAGCATTGATTTAATAAATAAAATAAGTGATTATATCAACAATAATTTCATTACAGAATGATTTGGAGTCACAAAATGAATCACTTCAGTTTAGAAAAATTATATTTTTTCTTATAACAGTTGGAACAACATTTACAAGATATAGACATGTCCTTTTTAGATTAAACATGATTTGTCTATACTTTGATGATCAAGTAATAATTTGTTTCAAGCTATGTGGTCTATCCGGAAGACAAAATATATTTGAATCTCGTAGTAAAATATGTTAGAAGTAGTCAATTATACTTATATATGATACTTGAGCGTAATGGAAACAACTATTCTAATTATTCTTGTGTTTGGGTATTATAATATTCTTGTGTATGAATATTCACAAGTATCTTTGTGAATTTTATTTAAATAAAAAATAAGTAATTAAAATAAAATTATTAATAGAAGAAATCTTAATCATTGAACAATGGTTAGAAAATTAATTTTACTTATTTATATTTTAAATCAGAGATATAAAATTGAATTTATTTTTAAAGATATTAACTTTTTAAAACTTATACTTGGTTTTTATCTTTTTTAAGAAAAACTAAATTTATTTTCACTACCACTTTATTATTATGCAATTTTATTTAGGTTATACTTTGAAGTCAATTTTTTATCTAAATTAATTTTCTAAAAAAATATTTTTAAAATGATTTTATTTGAAATAAAAAATAATGAATTATGTTTTTTAATTATTGTAAATTAACCACTACATTGAATAAGGAAGCGGCACTGGCCTACGTATTTTTTATTTGAACATTTACATTTCTCTACCTTTTTTATTTATTTATTTTACTTTTCAATTTTCCAATCTGTGACCTGGGTGAATAAGTGATAATTAGGGTTTTCAAATTTTCCCAAATTCAGAAACTAGAAATGAAAATTTGTTGGGCTTAGTAAACCCTCTTAGAGAGCTTGAAAACAGAACCCGACCCGTTTAATGTTGAATAGCAAAACCCCACACACCCACACACGTTCTTTTAGCCATTCTTCTGCAAGTTCCAAATTCCAATTCATAGTTACTTTGCAAGTTACCACGCAGTTACTCTCATTCCACCATGCATTTTCCTCCAATTTCTCAGCAACCAAACACCACCTGATTCTGTCATGAACTGCTTCTCGCTGATATCATCATACGCCGCCGTCGTCGGAAGCGCAGCTCGATTAATCGCCAACCGTTCCCCTCACGGCTGCTCGTTCCCGACGTTGTTAGAATTTCGAGGAGTTAGGTCTTTCCGTTCAGAATTTGTGTTCACCACTCGCTGCTTTTCAACGAAAAAAGGGCGCAAAAGTGGTTCTAGTTCTTCTCGGTTGCACAAGCCCGAACCTGAAGCACCAGTCATGGAGAAAGAGAAGGACGCTTTCTATGTCGTTCGGAAAGGGGACGTTGTTGGAATCTATAGTAGTCTAGCTGATTCTCAGGCTCAAGTTGGACCTTCTGTAATTTCTCTTCTGAACCTCTCATCATATAATCCTGGATTGAGTTTAATTTTCATATTCGGTCGTATTATAGTTGTCTTATATAACTTTTAAATTATTATTAAAAGCAAACAATCCTATCCTACTCGGTGAAATGTGATGAATGACACAGTAAGGACATTCTAGTTAAATTCAATTTATTTTTACTCTTGTTTAAATGACATGATTAAGTATTTGTGACTGTTTTGAAATTTTCTTGGGTAGCAAAATTGTCAAGTTAGGGGAGTGTTTGATTTCAACTGTGGAGTGGTTTGATTGACAGCTACTATGCCATCGGGAAAATTATTCTTATGCCCTTGTGATTTCTTGAAAGTTCACACTTTACCCCTGCCCCTTTTAATACTTGCATAACCCCTGCAGGAATACATCGGCAATGTCTTTCTTTGATAATAAGGATACAGTGTCAAGATATAATGTATTTCAAACAATTAAGAGGGTTATCATAATCATTATTTGTTAGAAAGCCAGGGATTCAGTTGAGATTTGCCAGTATGTTACTGATCTTGGGGAGCATGTTTTTTCTTTGTTAGCATTCGAAATTCATATTACCTTTTATTGTGCTTCAACATTACTCTTCATTTCAATGTGTTATTATCTACTTGACTGGATGCAGTGGCTATATCTGTTTTGTGCTATTGAGGATAAGTTATTACTTTTTTCTGTCGTAGTAGGTTTAAATATATTGTGTCACTGGGTAGGTTTGCAATCCTCCTGTTAGTGTGTACAAGGGATATTCGTTATCAAAGGACACTGAGGAATATCTTGCCTCGCATGGACTAAAGAATGCATTATATACAATTAGAGCTGCGGATTTGAAAGAGGATTTGTTGGGCATGCTTGTTCCCTGCCCATTCCAGGTAAACAGCTGTTGCAACGCATTTGAATTTTAATTCTTTTCAACAAAGGCAAGGTTATCATTAGCTATATATGCTTGATCTCAAAGTAAGCATCCTTATTGTGAGTTGGTGATGTTTACTAATTTTTAACTGGGGGGAATTTGAATTGATGATAAAATATGCTCTCATGATGTAAAATCTTTCACATTCATATTACTAGTGCATTGGTCGATTGATGGGAATAAGTCCTCTTTTACATGAAATTTTAACTAGACAAACTTATATATAGAATTCTTTAAATTCATAGGTATAGAAAGGTATATTTACTGAATGTATTGTGTGTGTTATGCAGACCACACAGTATGTATTTATACTAATTTACAAAATAAATTATAATAAATTTCTACCTAATAATCAGGAATCAATCATCCTAATTTCCTAGAATATGTAATTATTAATTTCCTACAAATCTGTAACAGCTAAATACATTCTAACAATAGGTTTTATTCCTTCCTGATTATAATTTTACATACAAAACCCATTCTGTGGTTATATTATGAAGTAGGTAGTCGGTTGTTGCATTTAAAAAGTTTGCTAATAAAGATATTGATCTATATTTATAGATGGCATGGCACATCTTTGTTTCCTTGAACTGTGTTTTCTCAACAGATATCCTCTTAATTTCCTTTAAAGTTTGAGGTTTGTTAATCAAACAAATAAGAAGATTTATTATGTATGTCCCAGGAACCTCCTACCAAAGAGGGCAAATCAAATATGGACGTATCTAAAAAGAGATCTTTGGGAGTGCATGGACAGGATGAGGTGAGATCAGTACAATTTGGAACTATAACACCACTATCAGGAAGGCAAAGTTCCAGGGTTATGTATCTGTTACTTACTGGCTATCACTCCTGTTACAATGATTAGTCATATGCATCTATCAAGTCTATTACTTCCATTGGAATTATTTAAATATTCTTGTGACATCCTCTCAAACCTTGTTTCTTTCAATCATCTTTGTAAATCATAACTTTATGTTATAGTTGACTGCATGGGATTGCATATCATGGAATCTTATAATGGTTTTGAAGCATTGTACAATGCTATATCTATGACGTAAAGATTTAACTTATTAAAAACTTAGGTCAATGTTTGGTAGTTGGTAATAACTCAATAAAAAGAAGATTACAGTACAGCTTTACTGGACTATCATCTGCATTGGATACTACACTTGATTTCCTCCAATGAAACCCTATTTCTAGAGTCTGAAGTAAATTGTAGCATGAGAAAGTGTAGTGGCGCTGTGTGTAATGTCTGTGAAACCAGTTGTTTTTATTTCAGTGCACTGTCAAAACTTGTTTTTATTGTAAATATTTTGATACATTTATTTGCTTTGCAGAAAGCAATAGTTGAAGATCCCTTGAGAAAGCAAGTCAAGTTAGATCATAATGCTGTAACCGAAGCACCTTCACAAGCAACTGTAAGTGAAATCATATTGATACTCATGTATTTAAAAACATGTTTGCTTGACGCCTTCCTATTTCCAGAAAAGTTATACTTGCATCTCTTGCAAAAAACCTTCATGTGGTTCAGAATCTAGCAATCTAAATTGGTAAAGTTGAAAATTATGAACATTAGTATCCACATCATTTGCTGAAGAAGCCCTTGTAGAGGCTCAATATGCATGGTTTGGTAAACTGAAGAAGCCAAGATGCTATGTTTTGAACCACTGGGTGTTTTCCAATTGATTTATAGTTGAAGGGGGCTTCCATGCATTTTAGCCAATAGTTATCATTTTAATTGGAGACTCAATTTATACTGTGGTCATTTGATGGCTCTCTTGTTGATCTCTGTACAATATGGAATGAAATGTTTTATAACTCATCAACTCATTTGATGCTTTCAGATCTCTCTTATTCTAGCATTCTAGTAAAATGTAGCCTCATAGTTGCCTATCCTTTTTTGGTTAATCAAACTTATGTATCATTGTGCAGAGGACTTGTATTCTTGAGTTTGATGGTGCGTCGAAAGGAAATCCTGGAAAATCTGGTGCTGGGGCTGTTCTGCGAGCTATTGATGGAAGTTTGGTATGCATTTGATGTCTCTGTATCTAGTCATCATTGGCATACAACTATAATCTCTTTAACTATTTTTACTTTAAAGATTTGTAGGTTACGTGAAGGTGTGGGTGTGGCAACTAACAATGCTGCGGAATATCGTGCAATGATATTGGGAATGAAATATGCTCTTAAGAAGGGATTTAATGGTATTCGTATCCAAGGTGATTCCAAACTTGTTTGCATGCAGGTTGGTTATTTATATTCTTTTCTATGTTATTTTATTCTAGCATAGTAGCATTATTAAAGTTTTAATGACATTTACACCCCTTCATTATGTAATTCTATGCCCTTGGATTCTTTATGCAATAGCTACTGCCTGAAACAGATTGATGGTTCCTGGAAGGTCAAGAATGAGAACTTGTCTATATTATATAAGGTGGCAAAAGAACTGAAGGATAAATTTTCTTCATTCCAGATCAACCATGTTCTAAGGGTAGGTATAGTTTACTGAGCTATTGCTGTAGATGGATTTACATCGTGTTTGTTATAAGTTATAACTTTGATTTGGAGAAATAATTGTATATTTTTCAAAAGATCTCCTGGGAGCAGGCAAAAATAAGTAATTATACTTTCAAAATAAGCCAAAACTGGTACACAAGTGTCATTATCCAAAAAGAGAAAATTAATGTTTTCTGAAAAGCTGATAAAAGCATAAAATGAAGCATTGAAAAACTGAATAAAAATTGCAATAAGGTAATGCTCCTGAAACCTTCTTAATGGCGTGATTTCTCTCCCCCTTGAAAGTTTTTTGTGCTTGCGAGATACAAATAAGTTGTTGGAACAAGTTTAATTCAAGTGGCCATCCCTTTAATTATTTAACACTACAAAAATTCAATGAAAGAAGAATCGTTTATTGCATATGCTTTGCTACAGAAGTGTTGTACTAAATTCTAATATACATCATCCTCTCTTTGGTAGAATGTGCTTTCCTAACATCAATTTTATGATGACTTTATGAGCTTTATTTCCTTGTTAAATTTACTAGATAATCGAGTTTTGCATTTAAGTATTATATACGTATCAGAATAATACCACTGAAGGTTTTCTTAAGCATTTCCTTAAAATAATTTTCTTTTTAACTTGTGAAGAACTTCAATTCGGACGCTGACGCTCAAGCAAATTTGGCTATCAACCTTGCAGGTGAGGTCTTGAGAATCTTTAGTCTTTTATATTCATTGATCTCTTGTTAAATGCATGTATTAAATTATTTTAAGCTTTCGCTGTTTATACAGATGGCCAAGTCCAGGAAGAGTGTGTATAATATTGACTGATGGCTGCTGCTGGGTGGGATTTGTTGCTGGAACACGTCTGCAGTTTGAAGAAGTGTCTCAGCAGTTATACAACTTATGGGCTCAGCGTTTTGAATTTCCATAAGTTTTTGGCCGCAATGGAAGATTCCCATTACGACTTATAGACACTGCAATCATATCAAGTTGAGTTCTTTTTTTTTTTCATTTTTGAGCATACGGAAGATCAGAATATCTTACAGTCTAAAGAAAACACGATTCTTGTTCAATTACACTAATATTATTACTTAGTTGAAAATGTTGTTTCATTATTAATTTGTATCTATTCAGGCTCGATTTACATGCACGGTAGTGTTTCAATTATGTAAGAATATTCTGTAAACTAATGCTTTCAACTCCTGCTAACCAGTGAAGTTGATATTCGGAGTATATTACGGTTATGTATCGATGTGGATCAGTTTAGATAGACACAAAGTTCAGACACTTTCTGTATTATATTAAATATGACATGTAAAATTAATCAATTCATTACAAAAAAATATTTAAAAATTATAAAAATATTTAAAAATACAATATGATCAACTAATAATAATATTAATGATATTTCAATAAAAAATTTACAATATCATACAACAATATATTATTATATTATTTATATTATTTATAATATTTTAATATTTTTTATTTAAAATAAATTTTTACAAGTTTACAAGTTGAGTTTATGATTGAACTTTCAAATTTACGTAAATTTTCAAGTTTAATAACCTTTTTCAAGTTTAATAACCTTGCTTGGGACACATTGATTCTAATGAGGATGTAGCAATGGAACCATGCAAGGTGGACTCTGTTTTGAGGTAGACTGTCCCAATAAATGCAAAAGGAGTTGGGGGTTTCACGGGCTACTATAGGAAATTTGTTAAAGATTATGGGAAATTGGCTAAACCTTTAACTGCTTTGACTAAGATAGATGAGTGTAGATGAACTTCTTTTGAACAACAAGCTTTAGAACACTTAAAGGAGAATATCACAACAACCTCAGTTCTAGCTTTACAAAATTTCAACCAAGAGTTTGTAATTGAAAGTGATGCTTCAGGAGGAGGAATAGGAGCTATTCTCACGGACCAATCACGTATTCCAGCAAGGCTTTGGGAGAGCGAAATTTAGCTAAGTCTGCTTATGAGAAGGAGCTCGTGGCCATGGCATTGGCCATCCAATATTGGAGACTGTACCTGTTAGGCAGAAAGTTCACGGTGTCCACAGATTTAAAAGAGTTATTTTTACAGAAGATAACTACCGGGGATCAACAAAATTTGTCTGCAAAGTTATCCAGGACCTCATTACTGGCCTACCGAAGTCCAAGGAATATGAAAGCCGTTTTTGTTGTGGTGGATCATTTGTCAAAGTACAACCATTTTATCCCAACCAAACACCCATATACTGCAAAAATTTTGGTTCAGATTTTTGTCAGAAGTTGTAGACTACGTTGCATTCCAACCTCTTTCCTGATTGACCGTGACCCAGTTTTTGTCAGCAATTTCTGGAAGGAGATCTTTAAATTGCAAGGAACTCAGTTGAAGATGAATACGACCCATCACCTCCAAACAGATAGCCAAACACAAGTTACGAATAGCTATTTAGAGACATTTTAACGATGTTTCATCGCAGATCAGCCGCGGACATGGGTGGTTTGGATGTCATGGGCTGAATATTGGTACAACACCAATTTCCACAGTTCCATAGGAACCACACCTTTTGAGGTGGTGTATGGACGGCCTCCACCAGTCATTACCAGATTCCTTCCAAGGGAGACATGTGTTGAAGCCGTGCAGCGTGAGCTGTTAGACCGTGATGAGGCACTAAGTCAGCGGAAGCAACATCTGCTTCGAGCATGGAGAAAAAGTTTCAGCATAGGAGTATGGGTGTTCCTTAAGTTGAAGCCTCATAGGCAACAGACCTTGAAGTCTGAGATTTGTCCTAAGCTTGCTCCTAAGTACTAGTGTCCTTTCCAAATTACGGGGAGACTAGGGGCTGCGGCTTATAGACTTCAACTTCCTCCGGAGTCACGTATACATCCTGTATTCCACGTGTCATTCCTAAAAAACGTTGTTGGGACTTCGATATTGAGAAAACTTTGCCTCCCGGACTGGATTTGGAGATTGTTCGAGATGTTGTACCTGCTGCAGTGTTGGCTACACTCTGTTGGAACTGGCTCTGGGCAAAATCTGATTTCTGTATTTTCCTTTCGTTTGCCATTCACTAATACTGGGATTTATTCCTTTCGGTATGAATTGTTCTTTCTATTATAATAACTATTCTGTCTTTGGGTTTCCAACAGTTTGTTTAGAAATAATTAAATATCAATTGGTGAAGAGTTAAGGCAATGTGTACAAACTTTGACAAGAAGTTGAAAAGAGGATGAAAGCATGGTAAACAGTGAACGAATTAAACCTCTATCTGCATTTTGTTGTCCATCTTAGGCTCAGGTTATTTTCTCTTTCCCTAAAAGGAATACACGTTCTAATATAAATAATTGCTAATAAATAATTATTTCAAAATCAACAACTCTAACAATCCTAGACCAAAAAGGGACTAAAGAAATGGGTATCAAAACTACTCATTTAGGTCTCTTACAGCAAAAGCACCACAGTTGTAACAGGACCCTATTACTATTTCTTATCAATTTTATTCCATTCTCTCCAGTCTTTGTCCACATTATTTTGTGCCCAAGTGATAGCAGCACGTGCAGCTATTGGTCCACCAGGAAATCCTTGCTCGTTCAGGGTATCCGCCATGTCAACGAAAGGAAGGACCAGAAGTGTACCAGGACCTCCATACTCGGAGTGTAAGAAAGTGCTAAAAATCTACTCCATTAAACATAAATCACACAATTCAAAGCAGGGTTAGTATGGACACAAATATTTCATTAGTCAACTCAACTCAAAATAGTAATGGTGCACATAGAAAACTATCAGTTTAGCTGAATTCAAGAATATGAAAGACATTCCGAATGCACCGTTCCAATTACTAAAATATGGAAATATTACAAAATAGACAAATAAAATCACATCTTCCCTATTTTCTTTTCCTGGTTGTTTAAAAGTTCTTACATTGTCAACTCCCTAGTTTCATAAACTAATACAGGAGTTTTACTCAGCTTGTAAACTTTCACAATCTGATAATAAAAATAGATGAAACAAGTTTAAGCTGCAAGTAAAACAACCTAGAACACGGCTTTCTCTAACATGCACATAAAATCTCTCTTACGATGCCAAAGCATAGAAGTCAGACTCAAAAAACTATAGCAGAGTAGAGATGACTGCTTACCTGAATTTTATATATACAAATTAAATATTTTTTATCAGAGGCATATTAATGTTCGAAAGCCAAATTACTCAACATCCATGCATATTCATGATTAACAGTAATAGGCCACGGGTTAAGTAACAACAAAAGTCAACGAAAAAACACATTCAAAAGACTTTCATAATTCAAATACATGTCATCATAAACATTCTATAAAGGAAGAATGGGTGCTGCTTAGAGAAAAGAACAGGAAAAGTTGAGGGTTTAGAATTAGATGTGTAGGTAACTACATGGATCTTCTAAATTCAGAGATCTCAATGAAGCTGTCATTGAGGTCAAAATGAGCCTCACTCTTTGTTGTCATGGTATGATTGCTATTTGAAAATGCACCACTAGTTCAATATATGTATCAGAAGACCTTAGTTCATATGCTGAGGGCAACCTAACGTAATAATTCGCATCACTTCATGGTGACTAAGATCAGAGAAACCAAAAAATCAACCAGGAAACATCTATAAAGGATCATTCATAACTTACTTCTCCAATAAAGGTGCACAAATACATTGCATGCAAGGTGACAAGGAATGCTTTTAATGATTCTTTAGCATGCTGAGAACCATACTACTATAACCAACTAATCATTAAATCATATTCCCACTCCCAAATTCATGATAGTTATTGTAGGTTCTTTCCCAAATTGAAAAAAGAAATACATAATTCAACTCAACAAAGGGTAAAGAAACAAAAAAAAAAACATGAGGACAACCAAATTAACGAAAGAAAAAAAGGGGTAGTAGGGGACATGAAGAAGGAAACCAACGAACCTCAGTGCAAATTCCTACAACTTCCTCAACGGATTCTCCATATATATCCTTCTTTGTAAGCTTTTGGAGAAGGTGGCTTTTGAACTTTTCCGTCTCCTGCAAAAGAGAAGCAAAAATAGAAAGAAATTGGAAAGCGAAGTTAATTTATTAGTTAACAAATAGAGAGAAGAGAAGAAAAAATGGAAGAGACAACTGACGGCATCTGCGAATTCGGGAATTGGGTCAGGGAATTTGTACTCAGCAGCTCTCACAAGGAACCTTTTCGTGGATGAAAACGGTAAAGTTGGGGACTTTCTTCTTCCTTTGACAGAAGGAAATGAGAAGCGGTGCTGTTTAAATGTGGCAGAGGTTGAGATTAAGCGGGGTTTCGAGAAACACAAGGGAGTAGAGGAAGGAAGCAAAGAAGCAATGGTTGAAGAAGAAGAAGAAGAAGAAGAAGAAACGGAGAAGGGTGGAAGAGAAGCAGAAGAACTCATTCTGCAAATCGCCTCCTTCTTCGTTATCTCTTCGCTAGTTAGTTCCCTCCGTTTACTCCTATTCCCAAGCTTGTATATTATCAATTTTTTAATATTTTTTAAATAAGGTATAAATCCTTTTTAAATTAATTTTATCCATCCATTTATATATACATAATAGTAAAATACTTACCAAATCAAAAGTTAGATCTTTAAAATATTAAAATTATCAAATTGTTAATTAATTATTTTTATTATCATCATAGTTATTATTATTGTTATTATTAACATATTTAATATTTAATAGTTAAATTAAATATTTAATATCATCATAATAATTATTATTATTGTTAATTAAAATATTTAATAGTCATATGAAGTGTTATTACATTTAAAATCAATTCTTTTATATAATGTGAGGTAAATGTATCGTATTTATATTAAATATATAATTAATGACTTACATAACCAATTATGCTTTTTAAAATAAATTTTTGTTTCCAAACTTATATCAAAAAAACACCTACGCAAATTATCTTATCCATTATTAACATGATCAGGGACATTACAAAATTTTACTTTCTTACAAACATAACATACATAATGTTGATCTCCATTTTCTTTAGAATATTTGTTAAAATAACGAAAATTAAGTTGCTTGAGTACATACATAAAGAGGAAAACAATGACTATAGTGAAAACTGAATGTGATATATATATATATATATATATATTTATTGTATGGATACCCATCAGGGTAATAGATCGGGCGGGGCAATCAACAACTCAGTAACCAATCGGTAAAGACAGTCATTAAGGTAATTAAAGGATAATCAATAATAATAATCGTCATTGAAAGTTAATGGATTAATGAAAGTTGATAAGCTTATTAAAATGTATGTTTAACAAACTAATATTCTTATAACTAATCTTTATCTTTATTACAAGATTATTATGTAGAGTCACTGATTGAGTGTTGGAGTCTCTTTTGGAACCCTTCCCCACGACTAGAACAAGGAGAAGAGAGAGAATAGCGCAACTAGATGATGAAGTGGACAACTTTGAATGTTTTGGGTTAGAAATCTCAATCTTACCGAAACAATATATATATATATATATATATATATATATATATATAGGGTTTGCTAACGTGCGTACACCTCCTCTCAACCCTTTCTCTTTCATCTCTCTCCAACATTTTATCCGTCATTCCTACTGTAGCCCCAATTTAAAAAATAAAAAATACTCGTCGTTAAACAATTTACCTTTGTAAAGAGTTGAGTCATTGACATATTCACCTTCAGGTAAAGGTTCATTTAAAATCTCTTCAATTTCACCATCTGCACTAACTTCTCTAATTTCATCATTTGCATATGTTGAATCTACATCTCTAAAAAAACCCTCCAAGCCAATTATAAATTCCTTCGGATGTCATTATGCGTATGAAAATTAGGTAAAATTAATATACGACAAACATTATAAAAGGAAACCTCATTATAAAATCATTTTTTGTAAGAAATTGTTTAACGAGTGTTTCTGATTTTTTTCAGACCAATTACCAATTCCTTTGATGTCATTATGCTTGTGAAAATTACATAAAAATTAATAAAGACAAAAATATAAAATGAAAACTCATTATAAAATCATTTTTTGTAAGAAATTGTTTAATAACGAATATTTCTCATTTTTTCCAAGTCAATTACCAATTCCTTTATGCTTGTGAAAATTGGAAAAATTAGATAAGAGAAAAAATTATAAATGAAAAACTCATTATAAAATCATTTTTGTAAGATTGTTTAAGAGCCAGTGTTTCTGATTTTTTTCGGTTGGGGCTAGCATAGGATGAGAGAGAAAATGTTGGAGTGAGAGAGAAGAAAGACAAAGGGTTGACAGGAATGAGGGACGTGAGCTTGGGTTTTTTTTTAGTTTTGAAAATGAAAATTATTAAAATACCCTCAACCTTAAAACTTAGAATCCAATAGTATATAAGGGTATTTTTGTCTACTAAAACTCGATATACATTGCTAAAATGTATGTACCAACTGCCTACGCACGTTAACAAACCCATATATATATATATATTATTTATATAAATATATATATATATAATATATATATATATATATATAATTTAAACTTAAGAGTTTGTTTGAATTTATTCAACCGTCAATTTTAAGGTAATTTATCTCAAATTATGCCAATTTTCTATCAAACTTTTATTTTGTTTGAATTCATACTTTTTTTTAATGATTAAAAAGTAAATATCTCATTTATAATTTAACTAATGAATTTTGTTAACTTTAGTAAACGGGTTATGGAATTAAGTCAATTATTTATTATATTATATGTCTTGAAGATTTGTTTGATTTGTTTGTCTTTGTCATTGTTTTTCTTAAGTGTTCCGTTAAATTAGAAGGTTACTTATGAAAGGTACTTTAATTGTTCGTTCAAGTAATTAATGTATATTAAATATAATTATCTATCTTTTTATCTTAAACCTGAATTTATAAATTTTGAAATAAACTTTGAATTAGCGTTAGTCTAACTTATGGTCCAATTGATGATAATCCTGTTTTGTTCTAAGCTAATTAGTGTCAATGGTAATTTCTTAGTGCGCAAACCATTTCATCAATAATAACTAATCGTCTGTTCATTCATTTATAGCTGATTGTCCAATTATACGATACAATTTGTAAACAAGTTATTCTCTCGTACATGTAAAATGTTTAACAATTATTGGATTAATCAAGTCTAGTTTATAAAACTCTTTTATGATTTGTTTTTCAATCACTTAAACACCTAACTCTAAGACCTATGTTATCTTTAGTTCATTCTTAAATTTATCATGATTTCTCAATCACAATATAAAAACACATATCTCCTTTTATATTATACTTTTATATTATACTTCTTTTATAGGACTCATTTACAATTAGAAATACCTACTTGATCTCATCTATCATATATTACTAAGGCATAAATTATCTCACCCTAAAGATATCTCTAATCTCATAATCTTTGAGCATCAATATTTTTTCATAAATGTTTACCTATCATTTTACTCATTACAAATATTTAATTCCTTGTAATATTTTAGGAACTTTTATATATATATATATATATATATATATATAATATATATATATATATATATTATATTATGAGGTGTTGCTAAACGCGTGTACACATGTTTTTCAGTTGGTACATTTTAGCAATGTATCGGATTTTTAGTAGACAAAAATACCCTTATATATCATGCATTCTAAGTTTTATGGTTAAGGGTATTTTAATAATTTATTCTCAAAACTAAGAAAAAAAAAAGAACACGAAACCCTTACTCCACCTCTCTCATTACTCTCAACTCTTTCTCTTTCATCTCTCTCATTCCAATCTTTTCTTTGTTATCCCTAGTGTAGTCTCGTTTGAAAAAATCAGAAACACTTGCCGTTAAACAATTTGTTTTGTAAGGAGTAGCATTGAACATATTCACTTTAGGCAAAGGTTCATTCAAGATACTCTCAAATTTACCATCTTCACTAACCTCCAATTTCATCATTGCATATGTTGAATCATCATCTCTAAAAAAACCCTATAGGCCAATTACCATTCCTTTAGATGTCATTATGCTTGTGAAAATTAGATATAAATATTACGATAAAATATAAAATGAAAACTCCTTATAAAATCACTTTTTGTAAGAAATTGTTAACCACGAGTGTTCCTGATTTTGTCTAGGTCAATTAACCAATTCCTTGATGTCATTATGCTTGTGAAAAATTAGATAAAATTAGATAAGACAAAAAATTATAAAATCATTATAAATCATTTTTTGTAGAAATTGTTTAACAACGAGTATTTGATTTTTTTTTTTCAGATCAATTACCAATTCCTTTATGCTGTGAAAATTAGATAAGACAAAAATTATAAATGAAAAACTTATTATAAAATCATTTTTGGTAAGAGTGTTTAAAGTGCCAGTGTTTCTGATCTTTTTCAGTTGGGACTACCCATAGGATGATAGAGAAAATGTGAGTGAGAGAGATGAAAAGACAAAGGAAAAGAATGAGGGAGGTGAGTAAGGGTTGAGATTTTTTTAGTTTTGAGAATGAAAATTATTAAAATACCTTTAACCTTAAAACTTAAAATCGATGATATATAAGGATATTTTTGTCTACTAAAACCCGGTACACATTAATAAAATGTACCAATTGAAAAACATGTGTACGCGCGTTAGCAAACCCATATATATATATATATATATATATATATAATATATATATATAATATATATATATATATATATATTGTAAAACAAAATATTAGAAAATGGCAACTTATACTTCAAGTTATACATAATGTTAACTTTTCTAAAAAACAATCAATTTCAAGCAGAAAGTCATTACTTTATCATAATATTATTAATGTTTATTGTCAAAAGAAATCAATAAAAGCAGGAAGGCTCCCTAAAAAAAATTGAAGATATGTTAAAGTTTTTAAATTTGATTTAATTTTTACATATAATGAGTGTTTTAATATGAAATTACAGAGAGACAAATAAATCAACTTTTCTTTTATAGATATGATATAAGCATATTGGAGAAGAGTGACCAATTTCAAAATACCTTTGATGTGGAAGGACATATTTCATCATTTAAAATGCGTTTCCCAATCATGTTCAGAAAAAATGGTAATTATTTTGATATACCATTTTATAAAAAAAAATAACCTAAAAATAAAGAACCAAAATAATTTTTTAAAACGATTAAAGGTAAAAGTGAATGTTATAAATAAATATAAAATATTAAGTATAATTTTTAAAAAAACTATATATCATGGTAAGTAAAATATGCCATTATTTACTAAGGTAAAATATAAATAAAACAAAATATAATTTATATTAAAAGAATTAGGTAATGCATAGTTACAATTTCTACACAAATTTGGGTTTGAATTATTAAAATTTCAGAAAAATAATTACTAAATAAAATCCGTTGCTGAGTGGTAATATTAAAATGTATGATCTAACCTGCCACATTCTGATTAAACTCAGATATTAAGTAGTAATTATACATGCCAAGAATGGGTCAGGCACTTAACAAGTAGTGTACCCTATTTTTGAGTTCAAACTCCAAATGCAACATAAAAGTGCATGTTATGAAAGTCATTCAAGGGAGAATCACATTTTCTTGGATGCCAATACAGGGTTCGTTTCAATTTAAAGGCCGCCATTTAAGAAACACAGACAAAAAATTAAGATTCAAAAATATAAACTTGACATATCTTGAAAATTTTTCCAAGCTCCATAACAACTTACTAAGCATCCACAAGCTAAAGACAGATCACTAATATGTAATCAAGGTCACAAAAAAACTATCTGTTTCCTCCATCAGATAACACAGCACAATAAAATGTCAAAGGCTATATAAATTGTACTGTGTGATTAATCCTCTTCTCTTTCGGGAGGCAAACCACAAGGCAGGAGCATTTTCTGCACAAAAGATAGAACTTGTCATATAAGGAATAGCTGATGACTGAAGAGTTGTAAACAAGACACTAAGGAGAAGGTTAACATGACAACAACAAAAATCAGAGTTCTCTATTAAAAAAAAGGGACATTCTCCGTGTTCTCATTCTCTATAAGAGACCTTTTCCATTTTTCTCCCACTTCAATCTCTTCATACATCGCTCTCTATAATTTTGGCTATCTTTCACTCCGACATTCATAATGTTTAGAACACCATGCCACCCTCCCATTTGTGAGGTTTACTGAGAAAAAAAAACGAGGCAAACCTTTTGCACGTGTATGGTGTGTAAGTTGTGGCCTGGTTCACGTGGTTACAAAGGAATGCAAAATTTATTAAACATAGTCTTACATTAGTGTTGGGAAATTAAGTACAAGCTCACTGGAACAAATTTAAAGAAAAACACAAGAATGCTTAGAATACCATTCACAAACAGCAGCTTTCTCATCCCTCCCTACACTTTCCTGATAACCCTTACCCCCGAGCAAAAATAACACCCTTCAAAAAACGGGTTATTAAAAGAGAGTTCTAAATAGTCAGAACAAGGTAAGTCCAGATGGGATATTTCGTTGAATAGACAGATCAAAATCCCATAATTTGGATATTAGGCTACCAGTCTGATTATGCATTTTCTATATAAAATACAATGACCCTTGAATTCACTATAGGACACGACAGTGCAAGCGGTTACTTGTATCCTATTTATCAGAAACAACACTCTCTGAAAAGAAATAACAACAAACTAATAAGGAAGCAACATGTATCTATAGTTACAGAACTATGTACCTAGAATAAATTCACATATAAGAATGGAAAAAATAAAATAAAAAAGGACAACCTCTCTAAAATAACAGGAATAAAGGTATTCAAAATGACAATAATAAAGGGATGCAACAAGTTTACGAAGTTCACTTCCTCAACAAGCAAACAATAACAGCAGCACTCAACAACTTCATCAGAAAAGCATTACAAGTAACAAGTGATTTTCTTTTCATCTTTTGTTTCAAAAGCCCATAGACAACCTGGTTGGTCGAAATATATTTCACTACAAAGAAATGTTAGCAACGCACTCTTGTCTATGCAATTGGGCAAAATTAACATTCAGTTACACTAGTAACCGATCCCACTCCTCGTTCATGAACTCTCCGAATACAGTAGAACACTGAAAAAAAGTGTATTGCTAGCATTTATCTTTTCCATAGATGACAGTGAAATAAATAGTGGATATAGATAAAGGATCTGATTCAATATCAAGGTAGAAGACAAGGCGCCTCTATTATAAAGTAGAACAAAAAATGAAACTATGTTGGGGAAACAAAGAAGGAAAAAACACATATGTCCAGAGAGAAAGATAACCTGCATAAAGCTATAGCGTTCCCTTCCGATAGATTCATTTTCAGCAATACCAAAGTATGCCAGTAAAGGGTAGTGGCCAATGTATGATGCATAGCTATCACGTTGAATGTTCACTGCCCATTCACTGCAAACACATACAAGCAAGAAAAACAAACGATTGGAAAATAATTTATAAAAAGATTAAAAGAAAACAAATTTAGAATGAATTTTGGGGAAAAAAGAGTGAGAGCGAAACTGACAATCTGTTCAAATCGGCATGACCAGTTCCAACATATTTGGCTTGGAGATGCTCGAGCTGAGAGTTGATGTTAAACCTATCACTGGCCTGCATAAAACGCCCAAATTAATTTTTGCATCAAAATTTCAAAACCCTTATAAACTCCATATCACCCTCTGATTGGAAAATTGAAAAGTAAAATAAAAAATTGTATTGCAGCCTTGGGAAGAAATTGGTAAAAGAGTGTACCTGCATGGTGTGTGATTAGTGGGTTGAATGGAGTTGCTATGAACCAAATTACTCTCCCAATGCTTAAGGATAGATACTGGGATGAGAGGGTTCTTGGTGGAAGCGCCTGAGGAAACCCTAGAATGATGCAGAGACACTATCTTGACCGATTAATCGGTGGAACAAAGGTTTTAAACGGTGGAAAAGAGGAATGAACGGAGGGAAACAGGTTCAATCGGTGGAAAGTGATGTTTAATCGGTGAAAATGGAATACAATCGGTGAAAGATGGTGGAAAACCTAGAAATAGATGTTCGAGGGCTTAGGAACTCGAGGCTGGAAGAGGAAAAATCAGATCTGTGAAGGCGATGGAGATTTACGAAGGAGACGAGGTGGTTCTGTGATGATAATGGTTGGCTATGAGGAGAGAATTGTCTAAATAAATAAATTTAATGGTTTAATTTTATATTTCTTATTATTTTATAAATTTTATCAACTATATTTAATGATAATGTGGGATTTAAGGTGATGTGTAACGTAACTAAGTAAAATCATTACATTATTAATAAAATATAAAAGTTAAATTAAATTTGATCTTATTTACTCTAAAGTTATATTTTACGATAAAAGATTTGGATTTTGACAAAGAAAATGAAAAAAAGAAAATCATAAAAGAATTATTACAAAATTATAAAAGCTAAATTAAATTTATCATATTTACTCGTCTGAAGTAATATTTTACGAAAAAATATTTGGATTTTGACAAAAAAAATTGAAAAAAAAAGAAAATCATAAAATATGTATGGGTTAAATATGTTTTTAGTCCCTAAACTATTGGCCGTTTCTGGTTTTCGTCCCTCTTTCAAAGTAAGGTACAATTTGGTTCTCATTCTTTTCGAAACGTTCGTTTTAGTCCTCGGAATTTTGGTTTTAGTCCTCATTTTGTTGCTAAATGAGGACCAAATTTTAAAACGGTGTTAGTTTTCGAGGACTAAAACGAACGTTTTCGAAAAGAATAAGGACCAAATTGTACCTTACTTTCAAAGAGGGACGAAAATCAGAAACGACTAATAGTTTAGGGACTAAAAACATATTTAACCCAAAATGTATTACAAAATTATATACAAAAGTTTCTATAAATTATTTTTAATTTTGGTAGAAATTCATTTAATTTTTTCTATTTTTTTCTGCTATTTTTTTTAGTTTGTCCCCGTACAGAAGTGATAACATTGGTTTAAGTTTGTCCAATCAGAAGTGATAACTTTGGTTTTATTTTGTATTTTGTGTAGTTATAATAAGATAATGAAACTTATAGCTAAGAAAATGTAACTTATATATATTTTTATATTTTATTATTTTTGACATTATAATGTGATTTTGTGAAAACCTTTTTAAATGAAAATTAAATTTTTTTTTTCTCGTCTTAAAGACAAAAGCCAGACTCTTTTAAGAAAAATTAGAATGAAGTATTTATTTATCTCAAAAAGGAGTTTTCTTTCTCTAAAAACTTTTGTATTTTTTTTAATAGAGATTTCACTCAAATTTCATTTTTTCTTTGAGCATAGACTTTTGAAGTACCTGAAAATACTAGAAAGAATTGAATAGTGAACATTTTTTTCAACTCTTCTAAGTTAACACCTTATCGAGCTTTTGAAATTTTTTTTAAATAATTGTAGGCTCGACTTAATTGGATTTTGTAATAATTACTTTTAACGTGTTATTCAGAATATATATATATATATATATATATATATATATATATATATATATATATATATATATATATATATATATATATATAGATATATATATATATATATATATATATATTGTTTTTAAGAATTTTCTTTATGAAATAAATCGTTTAGCTTGAAAGATTCTTGTGTTTGGAAATAAAACCAATTACAGGTTTTTACAAGATTATCATTTAGCTAAGAGAAGAGATAATTGCACAACAGATTCTATAGTGGTTCGTTCCAACTAACTTATTTCTAATCTCTTCCGTTCAGAGTTCCACTATAATTTTCACCCGATTACAAATGAGTATTAGCACCACTGTTGATACTTAGCAATCCCGTCGATATTTTGTTTGAGTATTCACATCATGGTACTTAACAACCTTAGCCGAGATTTCTTTTGAGTATTCACATCACTCATGGTACTTAACAACTTTGCTAAAATTCCTCAACTCAAACAAAGTTCACTTATAAGTATTTTAATTCTCTGAAGAATTACAATCAACTATTGCTTACAAGTAGTTCAGACTATATCTCTCTCACAGAGAGGATTTGATTACAATACAAAACAGTCTAAACACTCGCAAACGTTTCTCTCTTCTCTTTTACAATCGTCAGTAATATGACAATGAAGCTTGAGAGTATCTCTTTCTCTTTTTTTGTTCTCTTCTCTTTTATTTTCTTAGCTCATGTGTATTTTTTCTTGAGCTCTTTCTCTTCTTCTTTTCAGGATGAATATATGTTGTAAACTTTTCTTTTCTTATGCTCTTAAGCTATTCTCTTGATTTTCTTCTTAAAAAATTTTCTATTTATAGGTTTCGTGAATATCTTCTTTCTCTATAATGTCCACTTTTTAATATTTGAACATTGAGTATTTAATGTCATTTAATGCTGCCTCAGAACAACAAAGTTTTTTTTTTATTTTCTACCATTAGATAACATTTTTCGATCAAGCTTTTCTTTAAGGATACCAAACATAGATATATACTTCATCATAATATGAGATACCCATTAAACTCATGACATCATTTAATTAAATAAACTCTTCTTTAGCTTTTGCATTAAATTTTCTTACATAATTTAATATTTAAGCCTTTTAATATGTTTTATCAAATACATTATCGTACCTATTTTTGTTTTCAAAAGACAATGAATACCTATTCAAGATATTGTACTTATTTGCTTACTTTGAATGCTTTAATAGTTTTACGCTTGTCCTGTATTTTCAATTCCTTATTTCTTATAATCTTTTATTCAGAAAAGTATTCAAAAACATATTTTAATTACATCATAACATCTTATAAACACGCAATCAACTTTAGATGCAATTTGTCGCTTAATTATTAAAATATTTCCTTACTTTTTACAAAACTAATGAATGAAATATATGTTTGGATAGTTATAAAATTCGAGCATATATATTTAATTTAGTTTTAAAAACTAATCATATTTATAATTTAAAAATTTATCAATATAATAACAAAAATAACTTTAAACTTAACTCAAATATATAAAATCAGTTTATAAAATAAGTTTATAAAATAAAATTTACAATTATATATATAATCAACACGAAATCTCCAATAGTAAGAATCCAAATTTACATATCAATTCTCAACAAAAAGAACTAATTTTAAGAGTTTTCAGAAGTATGCCTACCTATTTGTAGTTTTTGAAGTAGTAGAACACATATTCTCTACAAACAACTTCAAAAATTATTCTCAGATGAATATCAAACTTTCATTTATAATTTAGCTTTTTAAGAAAGATAAATATTGTGAACAAAAGTACAGTGACTTGATATTCCAGCCTCTAAAACAAGGAGCAACGACCTCGGGTATTTGACATACCCCAATAATGTGATATATAATTTCCTGTTCATTGTAACAGTGGGGTTTTCATCTTAAAGCAAGCATGACTTCAGCAATAAGTGGCTTCTCTTAGACAGTATAAATTCCAAACTTTAACTTTAAACCAAACACTTCAGTTGCCTCACTTCATTAAGATCAGACGTAGCTTTTTATTCAACCAATAAAAGCATCAATTTAATCAACATTTTTTCTTTACCTTTGTAGATCATGATGCTAGAGTTGTAGGTGGACAATTATCAACGGTGCAAGCCAATATATCCCTGTACTCCCTGGATATTCTGAAAGAGTCATAAACTTGTCCATCACTGCTTTTCTTGTATTCAAGCAACAGGTTTGATTGGTCAAATGCTGTAAGCTTGACAAATCCAAAGTCATGGTCTTTAAATATACTCCATCTGGTGTTTATGGGAGCAAATTCAGCAAGGGATGCTCCTCCTCCCCCAACCACTAGATGTATTGTACCATTCAAGGGGCCCTTGTAACTGTGCTTCTCTTTATTAGTGCAGATATTCTGTGTAAGTAAAATGGCAGTTATTTTTTCATGTTTAATGGTAACAGAAAACAAGAAAAAAGTGTCTAGGATAGTTCAATCATTTTGATTCTTGATGACAAAGTGACGGCTAGAAAGCACAGATTCGATACCACATAAATATACAGGAACATGGTAAAGTTAATAATCATAAGCTATGACACAGCTATAATACCCTGTATTAAATTAATCTTCATGTAGTTAAAAAAGATGCAAAGTTATTTTAGACAACAAAATGGTAGAATTTATCTTATTATAGTGGGGTTCCAATTTATTTTGGTATAAAGTTCACGTACCAAAAGTATACAAAGCTAACAAGTAAGAAAAATTTTAATAACAAAATGACCATAATTTAATGTATATCTTGATGATCAAGCTGACAGTGAGTAAAGTGAGCAACAAGAAAAGGATAAGATGAGTTGTACACTACCAAATCGAGAAAGGCTATTTTCAAGCCATGGCATATACTCATCTCGAGCTTCTACAGAGAACTCAAGGAACAAAGTAAAAACTATCTATCTCTGAAGTTAGACAAAATACCTGATACACAGGGCAAGTTCTTTCGTAGTTATGGACATGTCCATACATTGCTATGTCAACCTTATACTTTTGCCAGAGATATTGAAGCTCCTCCCTTCCCATTGGTTCTTCAAAAGAGCCTTCTGCCACATAGAAGTCAGCAGAAGAATAACCAAGTACCCTATGCGCAAGAAATATCAGCCATGGCTGTTTCTGTCGGTCAACCGAAGCTAGGCAATTTTCAATGAATTTATACTGTTCTGATCCTTTTCTCCAATCGAGTTCTGTGTTAGCTATGCAGAATCTGAACATACCATAATCAGCTGAGTACCTGGCATAGTAAAGTAAGTTTTGAAGATCTTTCTGGAGGAAATAAAATCATTAACATCTTTTTATGGGTATACTGAAGAAGCTAACAGAATTTACTAGGTTGACTTAGTTTAATAGGTTAACTTAGTTTTATTTGGTGCAAGAGAAGGGCACGGCTGTGCAACTTTGATGTTTTGAATATATGTTAAAGATGCTAAATGCCTACATCCATAAGAGTTTTATAAAAGGGAACTTATTAAACACATGCTGAAAGGTTGAAATTATAAAGATATTTTACCAGAAATTTTCCCTGTTCTCAGCTGGTACATAAAACATGGTTTGAGACGGTACACCACATTCACCACCAGAATCCATGGTCCCATAAAATGATCCGGTCCCTGGCCAGTCACGTTCATGATTGCCACTAAAAGCACACCATGAAAAGCATAAAATGACATAATCAAGAGTAGCGGTAAACATACAAAAATGCAACTCATGCATAACAAGTCAAACCTTGCCGTCATATATGGTACAGTTGATGCAATTGGCTCGATTTGTGCAGTAAACTGATCCCACTGTGAAAGGTATCCACTCGCATAGCATAAATCACCAATGTGGAAGACTATATCTACGTCTTTTAAGTCTTTTATAATCTGTTTAGTAGTGTTGAGTGAGCCAGGCTGGTAATTATTAAATTCATTGGAGCCATCAGCTTCTGCCTGCGTGTAAGTTAAGAAAATAAAAAGTAGAGTAACCAGTAATTAAATCAAAAGTAAGAACACCTGATATCTTTCCAGGGTATAAATATTTTGACATTCCAAAATATATAAGTTAAATTCAAACATAAAATAAAAGAAAGGAGAGTAGTTATAATTGGAATAACCCATGGATGAAAGAGAAGACAAAGAAGTAATAGAGATTTAAATCAACCTGATCAATCTTATCTCTTTTTCTTATATGTAATTATGAATTCATTTATACAAATTGTATCTCCAGATTTCAGAAGATGGTTATAACTAGAAGAGCCACTAGAGAAAATAAAAAGAAAGAAAATTACCTTTCCCATATCACCGAATATGACTACACGTTGCAAGGAATTTTGACCTGGAAAAGGAGATGCTTTGAACTGGTATTCTTCACTCCATATTACTGTACCATTAAATAGTCTATGCCCCAGCTTGTATATGTACCTGAAAATAGAAAAAAAAGAAAATACATTGCAATTTGGGGTTCGTACAGTGAACTGCTGCTAATAAAATCAAGATGTTCCTTCATACCACAATATTTGAAGTTTTGAACCAATATATACTTATGTTACTTATGATAATACACGTCATGCGGGGCAAAAGAAGTATATTTGGTGCCAAATCCTTTCTACTTGAATCACATGCAAATTTCTTGGTTTCTTGATGGTGGCTATTCTTCCACTTCAACCAAATAGAACTACACCCAACCTAGCGTTTGTTTTCTTATAATAATAGAAGTCACGTAGGAAAATAGTTGCATATTTGGAGTCAATCCTTTCTAATAAAATCACATAAAATATCTTGGTTACTTGACAGTGGTTATATTCATGAAATTTCCCATTCAATCATTTATAAGAACTCCAAATATTGGAATTTGAAGGATACATGTTCCTGTTTTCACTGAATGAAGTTATCCATCAGCATGTATTTCCGGTCATCACAATAATATTCTGATACACTACAGCGTCAGCACTCATAATTACTTACCAATTAGAAGTAATTCCAAACATCGAAATTTTAAGATATTCATGTTTAAATCTGTTAGCATTTTTATGTTCTAATTGTTGGGAAATCTCACATGGCATCCCTTAATTCTTAGAGTGCAGTTTATACATCTGTTGGACAACCTCACTTACTGCCAATTAGTTTTAAGTTGAATTTGACATGGCATCAGAGCCTAGAGTTTATGTTAGTAATTCCCTAACATGTCAATCAGAGAGTTTTCACTTACTAATTAAAAGTAGTTGTGAATAAATTTATACATCTTGCATGATGTTCTACATAAATTTGTGAAAATCAAATGGATTAACAGGGATCATTTCTAGTAAAGTTATGGTTGGAAGGTGCACCTTAACTAAAAAGGAAGTCTTACTAAATGAAACTATGTAAGGTAATAAAATGCCAACATGTGCATAAGCTGTGTTATAGTGAATGAGTGGACAAACAATAAAATATTTTATCAGAAACTAAAAGTATCTCACCAAAAGTTGAAGTAGATCCTATTTTGAAATTAAAAATTAGAATAGCAAATTAATAATATCAGTTGTCAAGCAACCAATCATAATTATTCTCAAATAAGATATAACATACTCTCTGTTGGGCCACAACTCCTTCAGAAAACTAGTGTGCGTATATCCTGGGTCACGCCATCCAACAGTTCTTGCTGGTGCACCTACATATATACATGAACATAAGAAATTGAACGTTTTCAATTCCACTACTTCCTCTTTATGAAAGAAATTTGCAAATAGCCATCCACATTTTAAAACGAAAATACTATTACCGACACAATAAACTTGATTTTCCATCCCAAAAGTACCTATGACTCAAATATAGTTAAAATTAACACTAGAAGGTAGCAGAAGAGTTGCATACCACACATGGTGTTGCGATCAAAAGTCAGTGTCCCAGCAGGAGATTTCACACGGTTCCCTCCTTTTGGGCCCCATTCCACAAAAGGTTCAGCTTCACTGATTCCATATCCACTTGTCCATGTTACAGTCATCTGTTACAAGAACAAAGTAAATAATCTATTGATAATCCTAGATATTCTTAATCCACATATATAGTGTTACAGACCAATATTAACGTGGTAAATGCAGAAGCGGAAAATATCAAGAAACTGGAGAACTATTTATCCTTTGCAATCAAAAGGTAACTACAAGAAGTCGAAGCCTCCAATGTTCTAGAGCATAGCTCTAACAAAATATCAAAAAAATAACAGAATGCCCATCCCCCACTTCCTCACGAGTCTAAATAATAAAAATAATCGTGTTTAACAACCTCTCCACTACTCATGGCACCTCAACTTTAGGATTTCCCTTCTTCCTTTTAGGCACATACATCCTTCATGCCTTAGGTGTCTCATGCCCCTCATGGACCACTGGCTCTTTTGGCCCATAAACTTGTTGGGCTCCAACACACACGCATTTACCAACAAATATCATTCTAAGAAAGACTTTGAGTTCTAATCAGAGCAAGCTCCTGCAGCACTAATACTCATGAGAATAATATCCAGATCCGATAAAAAAAAAGGCAGTTTTGAAATTGCAATAGAGGGAGCTTAAACTTACTTCATTCCATGTTTTCCCTTGTGCTAATCGGGGATATACTGGTGCATTTGGATTGACGAATGATACTTTATTTGACACGGCAACGAGCTTTGGCTGTTAAAAATAATTTTAAAAACGAATAAATAGAAAGATAAAGTTCAGCTCAAAATCCACATTTCTGGTCACAAACGTCATATACACAATAAAGAAAAATAGTTACATATGCAAACGGGACAAAACAATCAAACTAACCTAACACCACTGGTTGGGACAGGGAGTACACAGTCACAAATGCTTTATAAATAGAATTTGCAACAGAAGTCCGCAAATGTATTCGTACTGGTAGGAATTTCTTTTCATGGGAAGTGGGAGAAAGAGTTATGGCTGTTTTACAGTGAAAGAAGATAGAGACTGGAACCATCTCAGATATTATGAAAGATGGAGCCGTCTATGAGGTGCTCAGATAAATCGGAGATGAACAATAGAATGGTATGAGCATGGTGACATTAGCCTAGAATTCCTCAACAATAAGACGAGTAGAGCTCCAAATAGTTGACTTATAATGGATCTCATAAGACAAATTTACAATCATAATACGTCTATTAATTTGATAAACAGGAGGATTAAAGGGTAGAGGAGTTTATCTGCATACACTTGTTAAGCCACCTGTGAAAAGGGCAAATGAGAAGTCGGATCTCTGATTAATCAACTGAAGCTTCAAGGAACCTTTTCCTGTGGTCTTGTAACTATTACTAGAGAAATTGGCATATTGATACTGAAATCAGAAAAGGAAAAGAGTTTAACATCAAAACATTTTAACTTCAAAGCTTTCTTTAGCTAAGGATCTGTGTCACACCGACCTTGATAGGCGCAGAACATAGAAGTGGGGGATCAACCCTTCCGTTTTCTGCAGGGCATGTAGAAGCACTGGAACATGCGAAACATTGGATTCCCAATCAATGAATGGAACAAGATTCTTGATTCTTAACTCATACTTATATACACGAGCAAGTTCATGATGTGAAGCCTACCTGAAGTTTGCAGGAGAAAACACTCCAATCCAATCTTCTACAGTGGGTTTCGAATTACTGTATTGCAGCGTAACCCATTCTGTATTTTGTCCCTAAACAGTTGCAAGCAGGATCCATCAATTTCTGCTACTAGAACTTATTTTAATCGTAGGCAAGTACTTAAAAGCAGAAAGTGAAGCGGCTAAAAACTAAAAGAAAATTCTTAAAAGAGCAGTCAAAGCGTACCGTCAAGCCAAGGACATTAGGAGTGGCTTTGATATAAGCACGTTCATCAAGAGCAAGTGTTGTTTTATGAATTGCAACTTTGGAGAGAGGTTGGTGCCCATCCGACACTGCTAGCTGAAAGGTTGCAAGAACAACAAAAGAGAAAAATAGATCTCTTGACTTCCACATCTCACTCATCATCATCATCATCATCATCATCTGAAAAACATCGAAAAATTATACGATGAACCAGTGACTGCCATATTAATCAACATCTACCCTCTTCCCAGAACAAAACAAAAGAATAAAAAAAACCAGCTATAGTCGGATTTAACGGAAAGGATTAGTCCATTACAGTCTTGCGAACTAAGGTTCCAACTTTTGCTGCGAGAATTCACCTCGTTGAGTGTCTTTTTAACACCTGACTGTGGTGAAAGATGGCCGGGAGGGAAAAAAACATGAAACACATAAAGGGTAAATCTCCAGCCACTAAAATTGCAATGTGAAATTAAAATAAACAAATGGGTGGCATGAAAATTAATAACCAGTTCCCAGATGAAGAAAATTGAAAGTTAACTTGGCATGATAGTTGAATCAAATGAAGGTGTATAAGAAACAGTTGCGGCCTTATGGGAAGAACAGATCATGAGATGAGAGGCAACTAGTTTTACTTTATCACATCAGTCGGAAAAGAAAAGGTGGAAAACAGAAACCTTAAAAGTTAAAACATCATTCGCAAGTGTTCAAATTATTTCATCTTTATACGCAAGCAAGGCTCTCCATTTCCACAAGTCAACCACAACCGTTAGATATATATCTATTTAAATAAGTGGTTTGGACTGATAGATTGTGATGAATTTTATCTATGAGTTAAAATTAAATCTTAAATCCACATGGATACTAAAAATATCTCAAACAAATTCCATCTTCCAACTTTTTATTAATATATGACGGTTTTTTAAATAATAAAATATTATTTCAGTGTATACGCTGTGAAAGAAAAGTTATATGTCCATATTGGAATTGTTTTGATAGAAAAAATTCAAAAGTTAAAAATTATCATAAAGTTTCAATCATTTATAGTATTGTGGTATCCGTAAAGTGGAAAGATATGTGTGCATCGTAATAAGAACATTTTTAATGATAAATGATAAACAATTATTTCGATGGTTGTTGTGAAAATCGATATTTAAATGTAAAATCCATATATTATTTACGAATTAGATGAAACGAATAGTAGTAATATAAAAAGATCAATAAAATTATCACACAAAATCATAACCTATTCATATTCTTAGGTGAATGTATTCAGTTTAAATAAAAAATAAATGTAATTAAAATTCAATGTTATGTATATTATTAGCATTAATACCACCCGTTTAAATTCTCTTTTTCTTTTTTCGTTTTACATAATTAAAATTTAATACAATTACAAATTTATCTTATTGATAACATTCACCTTTTTAAATGAATTTAAATTAAAATAAAATCCAATTAAAGTTAATAAATAAAATTTTAATTAGAATAAGATTCAAATCTAATAAAAAATAAAAGGTATTCTTTTACATTATTTATCTTCATTGAATTTTAATCAATTAAAATAGAACTCAATTAAAATAAAACACTCTTTTCTCTTCTACTCATGAAACTCTTATGGTAAGAAATTCACAAAAAAAGTGATCAATTTTGTAAATGTCTATGGACAAAGAAATTTTCTTTATTTTAATAACTTTTCATTTTTATTGTAGACAAAAAAAAATTAGAATTTACGATTTTGTAAGTCCTTTCATTTCTGAAATGCAACACATTATCTATTTATTTATATTTTATTTTAAAAATTTATATATTATTTTTTAAATATTTAAAATATCCATAAATTCTACCAATTTTAAAAATTCACGTTATTTAATAAGTAACAAGGAAATTAACTGGATAAATTTTCTGTACGTTAAGCAACGAATGTACACTGTCTTGTCTGACTTGTCCATTGTCATCCTAATTATACTAATATTTTAATATAAAAACAGCTCAATTAAATATGCGGTGGTTGTGCCAAGTTTGGTGGGTGAGTTACCACAAATGAATTAAAAAAGAACGAATTATTCTTTATGCATTGACAACAAAAAAGGAAAAACTGATGATGTATACCTAAAACCCTAAACCCTAAACCCTAAATTCGATTACGATGTCATGTGATTGTTGGTCTCCTTGAAACGAAGGAGAGTTAGAAAAGAAAAAAGATAATTTTTGAGTGAAGAAGAAAGTTCCAGTCACTCGTTCTGCTTTGGTGCTTCATCTCCAAAACCCACCAATTCGCTACCAGTTCTTTTCCCACTTCCTCAAACCCACCTTCCCTTCTGTATTCAAACCTCGTCCCTTCTCTCTGACCACTCCACGCCAAACACATGCTATACCCTTTATTCGCTCTCGCTTGTTTCCACGTTTTCCTTTTGTCAATTCATGTTCCCTTTGCATTTTTTGTAGGAAATTGAATGACCCCATTCGTTAAAAAAATGATCTTGTTTACTCGTGTTTATACTTACCATTTGCTAAGATTAGGAAAACAAATCTAAAACAGAATTAATTGGGAAGCTAGACCAAGGGGTTGGAAGCGTAGCTGATAGCTTATTTTTGTTTTCTTTTTTCTATCTTGACAAAATTCAAACGCAGTTATTTGGGCGTTTTTGTCACTGTCATCCAACCAGGTTCACAGTAAAAATGTTGGCTTAGGTTACTGAGATGAAATTTCGATTCTGATTGGAGAAGAACCCTAAAATCCCAACTCTATGTTTTGTCCTTTTTATTTATTAGGACGCTGGGGCTTATGATGTTTACATCATTGATTTGTGTTCAGGCTTCTTCAGTACCGTCTGTGATGTCAGGGAAGGATGTTGTTATTGCCGGGGAGACTGGGAGTGGTAAGACATACAGTTACCTAGTTCCTCTTATTGATAAGCTAAGGGATACCCAGGAACATTCCTTACATGCTATGTCTGATCAGGAAGTGACCCCGACACAGAAAGTTCTGCTCATCCTTTGTCCGAATGTGCAACTTTGTGAGCAGGTAGTTAGGATGGCCAGCACTCTACGTAGGGATGATGGTGAGGCGATAGTCAGTGTTTGTGGTAGGCAGGTAGTGATTGAGCAATATTTATGGTTATATGGAATTTGTATTATGCTTTTTTTGAATTTTTAATAATAAGAATCATTTTGACCAGGGATGTCATTGGTGATGTTTGAGTGTGTAATGCAGTAAATATCTTTCACATTCATATTACTAGTGCATTGGTGATTGATGGGAGTAAGTCCTCTTTTACATGAATTTTAACTAGACAAACTTATATATAGAATTCTTTAAATTCATAGGTATAGAAAGGTATATTTACTGAATGTATTGAGTGTGTAATGCAGACAACAAAGTATGTATTTATACTAATTTACAGAATCAATCATAATAAATTTTCATCTAATAATCAGGAATCAATCATCCTAATTTCCTAGAATATGTAATTATTAATTTCCTACAAATCTGTAACAGCTAATTACATTCTAACAATAGGTTTTATTCCTTCTTGATTATAATTTTACTTACAAAACCCATTCTGTGGTTATATTAAGAAGTAGGTAGTCGGTTGTTGCATTTTAAATGTTTGCTAATAAAGATATTAATCTATACTTATTGATGGCATGGCACATCTTTGTTTCCCTGAACTGTGTTTTCTCCACAGATATCCTCTAAATTTCCTTTAAAGTTTGAGGTTTGTTAATCAAACAAATAAGAAGATTTATTATGTATGTCCCAGGAACCTTCTACCAAAGAGGGCAAATCAAATGTTGACGTATCTAAAAAGAGAACTTTGGGAGTGCTTGGACAGGATGAGGTGAGATCAGTACAATTTGGAACTACAACACCACTATCAGGCAGGCAAAATTCCAGGGTTATGTATCTGTTACTTACTGGCTATCACTTTTGTTACTATGATTAGTCATATGCATCTATCAATTCTATTACTTCCATTGGAATTATTTAAATATTCTTATGACATCCTCGCAAACCTTGTTTTATTTCAATCATCTTTGTAAATCATAATTTTATGTTATAGTTGACTGCATGGGATTGCATATCATGGAATCTTATAATGGTTTTGAAGCATTGTACAGTACTATATCTATAAAATTCGTGTAGTTGACGGTGCCGTGTATGTCATAAAGATTTAACTTATTAAAAACTTGGGTCAATGTTTGGTAGTAGGTAATAACTCAATAAAAAAAATTACAGTACAGCTTTACTGGACTATCATCTGCATTGAATACTATATTAGAAAGTGGGTGTTTTAAGCCTAACTCATCCCCACAAAACCGGCTTGTAGGGTGAGGTTTGCACCCACTTATATATTATAAATTGGCCTTATCTCTAGTCGATGTGGGACTTCCAACACACCCCCTTCACGCCGAGGTATAGACATCTCGTGCGTGATAGTAGAAATTGGGTGGTCCAATAGCGGCCCGATTGCGGGTGGAATAGAAGAATAGAATGCCCACTTAGAACTTGCTAGGATAGGCACTAACCATGGCTCTGATACCATATTAGAAAGTGGGTGTTTTAAGCCTAACTCATCCCCACAAAACCGGCTTGTAGGGTGAGGTTTGCACCCACTTATATATTATAAATTGGCCTTATCTCTAGTCGATGTGGGACTTCCAACATACTACACTTGATTTCCACCAATGAAACCTTATTTCTAGAGTCTGAAGTAAATTATAACATGAGAAAATGTAGTGGTTCTGTGTGTAATGTTTGTGAAACCAGTTGTTTTTACTTCAGTGCACTGTCAAAACTTGTTTTTATTGGAAATGTTTTGATAAATTTATTTGCTTTGCAGAAAGTAATAGTTGAAGATCCCTTTAGAAAGCAAGTCAAGTTAGATCATAATGCTGTAACCGAAGCACCTTCACAAGCAACTGTAAGTTGAAATCATATTGATATTCATGTATTCAAAAACATGTTTGCTTGACACTTTCGTATTTCCAGAAAAATTATACTTGCATCTCTTGCAAAAAACCTTCATGTGGTTCAGAATCTAGCAATATAAATTGGTAAAGTTGAAAATTATTACCATTAGTATCCAAATCATTTACTGAAGAAACCCTTGTAGAGGCTCAATATGCATGGTTTGGTAAACTGAAGAAGCCAAGATGCTAAGTTTTGAACCGCTGGGTGTTTCCCATTGATTTATAGTTGAAAGGGGCTTCCATGCATTTTAGCCAATAGTTATCATTTTAATTTGAGACTCAATTTATACTGTGGTCATTTGATGGCTCTGTTGTTGATCTCTGTTCACTATGGAGTGAAATGTTTTATAATTCATCAACTCATTTGATGCTTTTAGATCTCTCTTATTCTAGCATTCTAGCAAAATGCAGCCTCATAGTTGCCTATCCGTTTTTGGTTAATCAAAGTTATGTATCATTGTGCAGCGGACTTGTATTCTTGAGTTTGATGGTGTGTCAAACGGAAATCCTGGAAAATCTGGTGCTGGGGCTGTTCTGCGAGCTATTGATGGAAGTTTGGTATGCATTTGATGTTTCTGTATCTAATCATCATTGGCATGCAACTATAATCTCTTTAACTATTTTTACTTTAAAGATTTGTAGGTTACGTGAAGGTGTGGGTGTGGCAACTAACAATGCTGCGGAATATCGTGCAGTGATATTGGGAATGAAATATGCTCTTAAGAAGGGATTTACTGGTATTCGTATCCAAGGTGATTCCAAACTTGTTTGCATGAAGGTTGGTTAGTTTACATTCTTTTCTATGTTATTTTATTCTAGCATAGTAGCATTATTAAAGTTTTAATGACATTTACACCCTTTCATTATGTAACTCTATGCCCTTGGATTCTTTATGTAATTGCTCTTTTCTAAGACTGTTTGATTTAAATATTCACTTGAAAATTATATGCAAAATGAAACTTGAGTGTTTACTGACCCAGTTACATATCACCTGAACCTCCCCCCACTTACAAAATTCACAATGTCTTGTGTTTTTTTTTGGGCATGAACCAAAACAGCAGGTTCTCATTTTAATGGACTGTGCTATTATCCTAAATGAGTTCTACCTTGAGGAAATATTAATGGCCCTTCAAGGCCCAAAATATCTCACCTAGAGGATTTTATTTGTTCAGAGAAGAACAAGTAGAAAACTGCAGTTAGTTATTGTAGCAGAATTACAGTCAATTCTGTAATTATGGGCAATTAAGAAAATATTGTACAAAGATTGCGTTTTTGCAATCGGCCTATTTTCTTATAATCCTTCTTATAGTGGCAATATATATATATATATATATATATATATATATATATATATATATATATATATAGATCATGTTATTTATATTGGTATACAGAGTCTCACAAATTTATGTATGCATCATGATTTAAATCCATTTACAGTTCATCATATGAATCGTTGGCTTGCTGAATTGTATTTAGTTTTGTGATTAGATTTGCAAATAGTTTATTCTAACGACTAAGAATTGGGGATAAACCACATGACAGCAAACTGTAATTATCCTTTGGATAATATCAACTAAGTACTGGACAAGTATCGCATTTCATCTATATAATCTCCTATAACCTTGTTTCTTTAAGCGTTTGATCACTGATTACTGTTATTTATAATTTGCTTCTCTTCAATTTTAACGCTACTGCCTGAAGCAGTTCTTGGAAGGTCAAGAATGAGAACTTGTCTACATTATATAAGGTGGCAAAAGAACTGAAGGATAAATTTTCTTCATTCCAGATCAACCATGTTCTAAGGGTAGGTATAGTTTACTGAACTATTGATGTAGATAGATTTACATCTTGTTTGTTATAAGTTATAACTTATATTTGGAGAAATAATTGTTTATTTTTCAAAAGTTCTCTTAGGAAGCAGGCAAAAATTAAGTAATTATACTTTCAAAATAAGCCAAAACTGATACACAATTGTACATTATCCAAAAAGAGAAAATTAATGTTCTCTGAAAAGCTGATAAAAGCAGAAAATGAAGCATTGAAAAACTGAGTAAAAATTGCAATAAGGTAATGCTCCTGTAACCTTCTTAATAGCGTGATTTCTCTCCCCCCTTGAAAGATTTTTGTGCTTGCGAAACACAAATAAGTTGTAGGAACAAGTTAATCCAAGTGGTCATCCCGTTAATTATTTAACACTACAAAAATTCAATGAAAAAAGAATCGTTTATTGCATTTGCTATGCTACAGAACTATTGTACTGAATTCTAATATACATCATCCCCTCTTTGGTAGAATGTGCTTTCCTAACGTCAATTTTATGATTACTTTATGAGCATTATTTCCTTGTTAAGTTTATGTAAGATATCTCCACAGAAAAGAAAGAAAAATAATGCTCAGACAGAGAGAATAATAGAATTCTAGAGGGAAACAGAATTTCTTGTATATTCGCTGCCTTTCCAATCATTTGTATACCTCTATATAACAGCATACATGCTACGCGAAAAAGTAAAAATGACAAAAGGAATAAAGTTAGTTATGATCCTAAATCCTTCTAGAACCATAACACTGCCAAATCATCAATTAGTCACGTAGTCGTTGAGGTGTGTGGGTTTCCTTCGGATTCTTTTGGGTAATTCTCCTCTGTCCACGTTTTCTTGATCCTGTGTTGGGCCTTGAGGCTCTTCATCAGTAATGGGCCTAACATCTCCTTCCTCTTGAAGAGGCACCTTGTCCTCAAGGTGAA